ATGCTTAACCGATGCGAAGTCTTTAAATTATGAATAATTAATAAACCCAAACAGCGTGTAAACAAATGCAAACAACGTCCCGAAACTGCTGAAACTATTGAAACTGAAATTCTTCAAGTTTCCGAACCCGTTTTTAACACTTTTGCTTTTCAGCTGCTTGTTATTCAGTTTGGTCGATTTGGTTCTGCCGGGGGGAAAACTTTTACTCAACTGCTCAAAGTTTGTTTTATCTCTATAATTACAATAAATAAGTATTAGTTTTGCAACAGACATAACATAACATAACAAACATAAACAGCTGTGGGGCAGACAGCCGGTCCAAGTCCAAAAGAAATCAATAGAAATGGCCATATAAATAGAAAGTAACTAAGATAAAAACGGATGCGAATGGAGCCTCAAGCCGGAAATATAAAAGGCAACTTCTATTGGTTCCAAAAACTAAAACAATATGAATATGTGAATCTGCTGAAATGTTATTAAAAGTTATTTAATTGCAATGTAAACGCAATGAGATATTGTCAATATTCCCAAACAAAACAATAATCTTAATTCTTGCTGTGGATCAAGTGAGAGACAAATTAAAAGTCGTTTGTTTATTTTTTTTATATTTTTATTTGGCTTATGAGCAGCATTCAGTTAATCGATGTGCTTGTGTGAGAAATGAAAACACAATTAAGTAACAACAGAGCTGAAAATTTACAAATACATATTTTACATATTCGTAACCTCTTTAGTCTTGAGTAATATTAAGCTGGGCTGACTCAAGGTCGCTGTTGATAATTATAATAATATAGTAAGACTATGAGCACCAAAATGTAAGCCGGTATTTCAAGAACCTTCCGGCACCATCATCAGCATGCTTTGCTGTCGACTCTGCCAAGCTGCTTAAACTCTTTGGGAATTATTAGCGGCAAGCAACGAAAACTATGCAAAGCATGTGAAACAAATATCCAATTTCTGTGTGTTTATTACTGGGTACTGATTGGAGAGCCTCGCATTAGGCTTAATCATACCTACTCCCATTTTTCCTAGAAAGGAAACTAATTTGATACCAAAGCTCGCTCGAAATATCCACAAGTGGACACTCGACACCCTTAAATTCTTGGAATTTAAACAGGATAAACATGAAACTTTGATAAACTTATGCAATATAACTTTGATAAAGCGCGCTACGGCATAACAATATATATTTAGAATGCGTTTCAAGTTTCAAGATAATTTGTTTACCAACTTGCTTTAAGACTTGCCCGAAACCCGATGCGATTTAATTGATTTTATGAGTTCGCACCTCAGACGCGCAATTTTGTGAAAATGTTTATGAATACCTTAAAGCGTTTTCTGTTTTGAAAATTAATCGGCTTAAATTGTTTTTTGCCAAGTACTAAAGAACGTTGTAAACAACGTGCATATTAGCCTATTTCACCCTCAGACCTCTGCCCTCTGCTCGCTATGCAAGCAAAATAATTAACGTTTATTGGCATTTAGCAAACAAATGAGCCGAACAAAGCCGCGTAGGCGGACGACTTACAGTTGATGAAACTTTTGCCGCCACATTTTCTTTGAAGAAAACGTATTCCGTATAATGTGTGACAGGCAAGGCCTACGTCTGTGTGTGTGTGTGTGAGTGTTGCTTAGCCTGTTGCATATCCTGACAAATCAGACAATAATACGACGCCAACGCTTCGCAGACAGCCACCCACTTTGCATGATGTGCTTACAGCGCGATTTTGCCTCTGTTTGCACTTTCAATATTTGCCAAAGTTTTGAGAAAGAATAACAAAAGATTTTTTGCGCGTTAAGTAAACAAACTGTCACTGGCATAGCCAGATAAACAATAAACAAAACAAACGAAACAAACACATACAAACTGGCTCGTAAACATATTGCAGACGCTGTGCTGCGCTGCGCTAAGAGTTGCCCCATGGCCGGGTCAACGTTGCGTATACGCTACACATAACGTATACGCCGGGTGCACACAATAACCGATGTCGAAAATTCGAGCAGAACACTTTGCTGTCAAGTGCGAATGTCTTGCACAACAACAAATGTAGTCTTGAGTGTTCAGCAAAGTGACCGAAATCTAATTTTTGCAACACTCACAACAAATTGAAATTAAATATCAGAGAGACAACAACTGAAATGGAAAATATATGCGCATAAGCTGTTTGGGTAAATACTTTCGGAGGACTGTAAAACAATTTCAACGTAACCAGAGACCAACAAAAATGGCAATCTTCCAACCACTGGAGAGCTGCTGCACAGCTTCATTTGTGCTATTTCTTTCACAGACATTTTTGCTATGCAAATGGAATTTAAGCACAAATGCATTTGTAGGGCCTTTCGTGTCCCAACAAAAGCTTTGCATATAAATCAAAATATATATACATATATATGCTACATTTGCCTTGGACAAAGCTTTGTTAACAAAAGGTTCCTAATTACACGAAACAAAACTATTTGCAATATCAAGGACTGCCATAAAGGAACTTACAATTTTTATTGCCATCTGAATGGGCTCCATTATTTATTGATAATATACTTGAGCAAAACTACGCAATTTGTAATCAAATGGAAAATACATGAAGTCAACCGGGAATATCTGTTTTTGATTTTGCTTGCAAAGAGTTCAAGTTTATGTTTTCTGACATTGACAACGTCTTTGCTGAGCTTTCTGGTCAGCTTTTTAACCCTTTGTATGCCCAAGCAAATAATGTAAAAAGGCCAAATTGCAATTTTGTTAGTCCACTTAAAATGTGCATACAAAATAATAATAAATCAACAAGTAAATGTGCACGCTAGAGCGCGACTAGCAAACACCCTGTACCGGGTCATAAATTCCCAATATATCCTTATGATCCTTATGATATTTTTGTGACTTAACAATGACAGCTAAAAGTGTACATATACATATGACTGAGTAAGAGTTATTTTCTATAAGTGGCATTCTATTTTTATTCATAACTCTGCCAAATCCTTAAGGATATCGGAACAATTTCTTTTCAGACTCGTAAGGATCAAGACATTTAACTATCATTAAAGATCCGCATTCCATGTATTCAACAAATAAGTTAGTTTGAAGGAAAAGAAGAATGTTTAAGATATTCTTAAAATGTCTGTTCTATACGAAATACTATATATTGTGATTATAGAGCATTGAGAAACCAAACTTATCTGACAATCTATATTTATCGATTTTGTACAATTATTCAGCTTTTCTAATCTGTGAGCTCGTTGCGTTCAAGCATGCAGACAGACATTATTAAGAATACATACATATGTGTAAATATATACTTGATGTTGTCGGAAATGACTGTGCATGCCTGTAACATACATTTGCACAAAAACATTATACCCTTCATTTTGACACTTTTTAAGGGGCATACAAATTGTAAAAACAAAAAACAATCCCACTGTCCAAAAACCACGCCCAGTCTAGCAGCTAACTCAAGTTAGTTTAAAGCCCGCATATTTATGCCAATTTTATGGCCTCCTCATTACACTCGCTCACAACGTTCAACCGGGTATATTGGCTTGTGCAATTGAAGTTAGAGACTTTTTAGTTGTAATATTGCCACTCTGGAAATTGGAAAAGTCGCTAACGAAAATAATACTAAAATTTAGTGGGAGTATTCGGCAGTCGGTTGCAGCCGCCTTCAAATATTTGACTGACTTGTTGACGTCTTTTTTTTTTGCCCTGCTCAAACGTTGACGCTTGGGTGAATCACAGTTTTCTTGATTTATGCATTTCCTAAACGAATGTTAATAATTTCAGCATTTAACTGTTCAATGTTTTTGTTAGCTTTATTTGGGCTCTGACGTATTTTTTTGTTGTTTTTAGTTTTTGCATTTTGTTTTGCGCACAGAAAATGAGCCAAGAGAATCTTTTAAGCCCGCTGTAGCAGCAGCCTTCTACTTTTGACAAGGGTCACGGCTAAAGTCAGCATTTGCTTAATTATTTATTTAATTACCCAGTAACACGATGCTTTATTGTTATTGTTGCGCCTTGCCGACAATGCATGTCAAGGCTGCGGCAGAATCTTAAAGCGCCAAAGCCAAGATGAGTTTGAAAAGACAATCACAGCAATTGTACAATTGTACAATTAGACTTGGCACACTTACAATCGCCGGGCTGGGCTCAACGTGGGCCAACTATGCAAAGTCGCTGCCCCCACAGACTTTTGAAGGTTTTGCTGCTTTGATTGCAATCAAAGGAAACGCATAGATATACAAAACGACTCGGAGTCATTCAAGTGTCGCATTTGATGCGGGACACACAGATATGTGTGTATTTTAAAAATGTATTTTATTGGCTGGCATTGCGTTGACCTTTGAACTTGCACAATAGTGGGTGGCGAATAAACTGGTTGCCTGCTGCCTCCAAAAATATTACGCATACGCCACTTGGCCCCTCGCCTTGGCCAAGCTATCTGCTGGCAGGCTGTGACAGCTTTCAAAACGAATTTAAACGGGCGGAAAATGCGCGGGCAATGGAAAAACTGCTCGCACTGCTCGATGCACATGAAAAACTGGTTACGCCTGGCAAACGCCACGCGGCAAGCTGGCCTTGTGCTAATCCACATTTCAGAATCTCAGCCGCAGCAGCTGAAAATTCTGCGACTGCTTTGAAGCTGTTTTGTGAAACCAAACTCGAATACTCGATGGGTGGGGGGTTGGGGCGGCACAATTGCTGCCAATGAATCCATGGGCACAACGGCATTTAGCTGGCTGGGAACGTGATCGGCGTTTCAGTCGGAGAGTTGCGATCGGATTGGACACTACTGCATCAACTTGACTTTGAGTTTAGTTGTTTTCGTTAATTGCAAATTGCCAGACTCTGGCTTCACATTTAATTGCAAGATCAATGTGCCAGCTGCCAAATATAAATAAACAATTTAAATGCCGCCAATGACATTTGACAACGATGTACGTTTGATTGCATTCGTTTCTAATGCATGATTATGCATCTAATCAAGCTGTTCCCCTTTTTTTCATTCTTGCAGATAATTATCACAGCCATGGACCGTTTTGTCTGGTTTGTGCTGCTGGTGGTCATGACGCACCTGGTCACCGAATTTACGCGCGTCACCGGCTATGCGAGAGGACAACGCCACGAGCTGGTGCTCATCAACGATGTAAGTAAGCGACCTCATTTGCCTAGTCAAAATTTCAATTAACTCTAAAGTAAGGGTATCTGCGGCTTGCTTTCAACTAAATACTCGCATAGACATGACAATGGGTTAATACAAAAGCTTTATTGTCGCGTAGAGCTTGCACATTTTAAATATTTTGTTGCATACTTTTTAGCGCTGCTTAAAATTTATTGAGAGAATTTAGTAATAGGCTAGGAATATATGTATAAAAGAGAATTTTGAGCATTGAAGTTTCTTATTTTGATCATGTATTTGTGCAATTGGAAGCTTCTCCGGCCCCATAAACTATATATATTCTTGATCAGCAACAACAGCCAAGGTGATCTATCAGTATGTCTGTCCGTCAGTCCGTCTGTATGGACGCAAGGATCTCAGAACCTATAAGTGCCCGCACAGTACAAGTTTGCTTTCGATAATCGATAACTTGCCCCGATTCCAAGCAATTGGTAGGCTTAAAGACAATTCCATGAAACGTTTAAAAATATAACAGATATGCATTTGTATTATTTATAAAACTATTTCCGATACTCTAAACTCTACAAGCAGTTTTCTTCGCTAAATTTATCCATTTAAATCTAACATTCATTTCAATTAATAATTCAAAAGTATTTTAACAATTAAAATGATTTAGTTCAATTTGGATTTTAACGCGCTTAAGCCAACTTATATACATTGAATAATTAACTCAATTTCCATTATTTATTTGTTAAGTGTTAAGCTGCATAAATATTTAGACTAAGTTGAATATATTAATTAGCATCTAACGCAAAAAAATGTATGCACTTGCGGCTTATTAAAGAGCTCGCTCTTGGGCAGCTTTTGACAGGTTTATTTAAATATTGACTGTTGATTATTTGCAGACTCTGCTGCAGCCGATGCCCGTGCAGAATATGCTGCTCTATCCTAGTCAGGAATATGCCAACTACGATCGTCCCCAGTCCGCAGTCGGCGGTGGCAACAGCATCCAGCAGAATGCGGCGCTGATGCTGGGCAATTTGGCTGGTGGCGGTGGTGGCGGCAGCGGTGCGGTCGGAGGCAACAATGCTGCCGAGCCGAGCTACCCGTTTTTTAGCCTGCGGCCATTAATTGACAGCATTTTCGAGGTAAGTGTGCGCATTTCCATAATCTATGTGAAAGCCCGCAGCGCCTTTGCTGCAGACAGCAATTTACCAATCGATGCTTAACTAGCCCGCTTTGCATTCGCTGCAGATACCGATTTCCACTTTGCGCGCCGTCAACAATCTGGTGGGTCGCCTCACCGGCAGCTATCGGCAGGCGCCGGCACCGGATGAGATGCAGAAATCGGTGGCCATAGAGGCGGACGCACCACTGCGCCTGCCGGCGGCCCATCCAGTCGCTGTGCCCGGCAACTTTGGGCTCTCAGCAGCAACAGCAACAACAACAACAACAACGGGCACAGCTAAGCGCCAGCAAATGCGCGAAGAGCTGGCGTAGTTGAAACAGAACGAAACAAAAAAAAAAAAAGAAACAAGCCACTTGACATTTACATTTACGTTTACATTGTTCGTAATTAGTTTGTAATTCAACTTTGACCTTTGGCCAAGCAAGGGCAAGGCGCACACGTTTCTCAGTGTTGTGCGTTAAATTGGCATTTCTATTATTTAGTTTACTTAAACCTGTAAGTGTTTGTGATTGTTTTATTGTTTTTGCATGTGTGCTTGTGTCTTTATATTGTTAGTTCTTAAATGTTGTCGTTTTTAGTGTTGAATTTGTGATATATGTAAAATTGTTGTAAGACTAATTTAACTGTATTTATATAACATTCATAAAAAAAAAAACAATAAAATATATGTGTAAAATTTAATTTCAATAATGTTGTAAAATGTATTTTTGATTGTCTGTCTTGATAGTTGTCAAACCTTTTTCCAATCTAACTTTATATTCCTCAAACAATTAGTTACATGACTTTTCTAAAAACACTGCACAACAAACTTGTGTTTAAATCTGAAATTTATGCAAGAATTTGGCTTCCAATTTCCACTGGCACACATAAATTTAGATAACAAAACATTTTAAAGAAAGTTTGACGTATTATAATTCAATCAAAATATATATTTTCTAAATTTAACGTGTCCGCCGATGATTCAATAGAAAATGGGGGCCATCATCTTTTTTTGTTGTTGGTTTTATATGTGCAGCCTGAAAGCGGGCAACAGTTTTGTGTTGTATAATTAATTCATGGAAAAATGTCGGGCGCAAAGTGGAGCATACTTTCGAGCGTCGCACAAAAATGCCACGCAGCTTTTACACTGAAGAAAACAAAAAAAACAAAACAAAGTGCGCCTGCAAAAATGTCAACAGCCGCCGCCTGGCCATATCAGCGGGGCGTCAGTCATCGAGAAATCAATGTTTAAAGTTTTCCGGAAATCAAAATTTAAATAACACCAAAGAGATTAAAACATGGCCAAAGTTGAAAGGTCTTTAAACGACAATTAATAGAAAGTCGTTCAATTAATTTATTTATAAATTTAATAATTCCAGTTCATATATATAAAGTATTTACAAAATTTAAATGACACCTAAGAGATTAAGGCAAAAAGTTAAAAGGCCTTTAATTAAAAGTAAATCAAATAGAAATCTAGCTAGTAATTCTTGGAAACAGATGTCTGACAATTAACAAGCATTTTTTTGTGCGTATGTATTCGTATAAATGTTGATTGTTGTTAATAATACTAAACCTTAAAATTAAATCTAGAATTGTATAGAACATATTTTTAACAATACTAAGCAACGGTGTTGGAATTTGGGCATTAAATAGATATGAGCAAAAATAGGATTAGGATTGAAATCAAATCATGAAAAGAAATTTCAAATGCATTTTCCATTTTTCCAGCATACAAATTCATCAACCTGCCTATCAGGCCTAATCCAATACTGATGCAAACATGTTTTGCACTACGCTCAAAACTTAATCAAATATCATTCAGCTGACGATTTAAGTTTAAACAACCGCTTGGCGTTCTAATGATCCATGTATGTAAGTAAATATATGAATTGCGTATACTTGATATGTTTGTTGCGGGACGACAATCAATTAGCGAACGAGTTTAGTAATTTCCCAATGTCACTAACTAATGATTAAATTTCATTAGGATCGGTTTAGACACGCGTGGCAAATAACTGGAATTAATATTGAAAAATAGGATTTTATCAAATGGCTGTGAACAATTCAAGGAAGAATCCGTCATGCACACAGATTGAGCCTTTGCTGACGATTAAAAAGGCATTGACTGCCGCCAAATCTAGCGTATTTAATTATTTCGTTGAATGCGGCCCTTTTTTTTCTGGCCATTTGAATTCGTTCACGCATTTAAATTTATCAAGCACGTGCCGCCGTGGCCAAACGAATCGAACAAAAGCCAAATACATTTGCCCAGATGCCCGCACAGAGTCATGCCGCTGTCATTTGAATATTTAATGAGCGCTTATTAGGGCAAGAAAGAATAAAAGAAGCGTTTCACCAGCTTCAAAAAAGAAGGCCCACGCCAGCTGCAAAGATAAATGGCCAATGGCCATGCGGCATTTGGCATTTGGCATTTGATTCTGTGGCAAGGCTTAAAGTGCAGAGGCCCGTTCAACCGCATGCGGTGCAAATTATAATCCACAGTGACGCATAAAAGTGCGTTTCCATGCCACATTCGCCAGTCGAAAAACTTCAATGCGACCGCAATGGAAACTCAACCGCGACTTTATGGTCAACTGCAGCCGGCGGCCTTGCAGCATTGCCAAACATTCAACGAAACAACTGGCTCGGACCGAAATAAAAGCTACACTCCACGGCTCAAGTGATAAAATGGAGTTAATAGTTAATGCAATGCTCGGGAACCGGTTGCCAGCACTTAAATACTTGCCACTGGGGCGTATGCGCAATTGCAGCCAGCCACAGCTAAATGCAAGAGTTCATATATCATATACACAGAGCTAATTGATATACACTTGTAGAGGGTAGCTTAACTTTGCCATTAAGTGTGACGCATAGCATGAGACGTCTGTAATCTGATTAAATTTTATATTCTTGATCAGTATCAGCAGCCGAGTCTATATAGTCATATTCCTCTGGCTGCTTCTATGCAAGCTAGTTGCTCAGTTTAAAAGCTATTATCGAAAAACTTTGCATAGGTCTGTCTTTGAGCTTTTGAGTAACTATCCGGATCGAAGCACTATTTCATATTGCTGCCCTGGAATGATATGAACAACTTTTCTGTTTATCAAGATATGTTGACCGAACTCTATAATTATTAAACTCTCTATGCTCTTTACACACAATCCAAGTTCTATTAACATCAGACTTCTATATCGTATAGCTTTATAGATCAAAGTGTTCGCCTTTTAAGATAATTTCACCAAACCCATCTTAACAAGCTTCACTAATCGATTTACATTTCTGCAAGGGTATTTAATGTTCGGCGTGTCTTAAATAGCTCCTGCTTTCTTAATATACATACAGCATATTTGTATAGACTTTCATCAGATTCGCTCGCTTATCTCGTGCTCTGTTCGGCTATTCTATTTGCCATTATAGATGCACAAAAGACATTGAACGCATAAATTCCTATATAAACAGACGTTTGCATTTTAATTACGACTCAAATCCAGTTCAGCAGACATCCAATTCCAGTAGCCCGAGTAGCCCGAGTTGCCCCCGTCGCACAGGCTATTTCCATTACGCGTTTCAAGTTTAAGCCCAGCTCAGACTTAGACTCAGACCCAGACTCTGACTCTGACTCAGAGTCGGACTCAGTGCTAAACGACAACGCGACGCGAGTGGACGGGTTTCTTTCGAGTCTGAGATTTATTAAAGTGCAAGAAGCAGAAGCAAGCTCAAATTGAAGGCAAAGCCAGCTAAAGAAAAACAAAAACAAAGTGTACAGGTACAAATTGACAGAACATTTCTACATAATAAGCAGATGCTATGTATAAAGAGGCTGGCACGCCTACAAAGTTGTTGCCCAGCTGGTTTTGGCCCGACTACGCCTCTGTGCTGGGCTTGACTCGGTTTGAAGAATTCTCGACATTCTCGACTGTCCGTCCGGCCGGCTGGGGGACGCGTTTCGCATACCGAAACAGACGAGTCTTTTGTTTTTTTGCAAGCTTCTCTTGCAACGCCAGCTTACGGCTGTTGGCCAAGCAAGAAATTAATTTTGTTTCACCTGTTTTTCAGCCGCAAAATGTTTGCCCAATTCGGAGCAGCTTGCCTGCTGCTGCTGCTGCAAGCCGCACTGGCCCCAGCTCAGGTGAGTTTTTTTTTCCAACTAGCCACTAAGTATGAAGCATAAAGTTGAATATTCTTGTACTTTGTACTTTGAAAACACCTTTCATAACTACGCACTCATGTGTGCTGTGTGCTATGTGCTGCGAACTTTGTGATTAAGCTAACCAACTTCATAGCCAACTCTCGCAAACAACTTCGACCGGCATGTGCCCAGCCACCCCTTGGGCCACAAAACCATTTTGTGGTTAATTCTTTTAGCAATTTTGGCCGGTTCGTTTTGCGAAATGCAAATATTTCAATTATTTTCCATGGAATGTACGCATACGCGGCCCATCAAACGCGAGACCTCAAATTGTTTTATTTATTTACAACTGTGCAAAGATTGGCCAGCGCAAATGAACACGAACACACTCACATTTAAGTAGAGGGTATATGCGGCAGAGTTTTTCAAGAATTTCCTATGCAAAAAATATCATTATATTATCATACACTTCCTTATTCGCCTTAAGTCTGCACATTCTACTTCAATGAACGGCTCTTCAACATTTTTTATCATTTCATGCCCGAGACTGAGGTGAACATTTAAAAATTTGCATAACTTTAAAGCTCTTGACGAATTATATACCCTTGCAAATATGTGGCAGCTATGGGGTATATTTTCATATAAAAACTTTATTTCCAGAAGATTTTGACTTTGGAAGCTTTATGATATGGCAATAGAGGAAGATAGGGAAACGGACAGACAGCCAAAGCTAGGTATATCTACTTCCATTATCGTCTAGATTATATATGTGTATATATACTTTATGAGATGGTAAAACTCTTTAAAGGCTTAAACATGACGAAATGTAACGTTTTTTAAGGGTCATAAGACTTATTTAAAGATCATCTAACGCGTATCTGAAATTAGGTATATTATTCAAAGACTGGAATTCTATTCGACTTAGAGCTTATTTGAACTTAGGTATATTATTTAAAAAATTGAATTCTACTCAATTCAAAAACTGTTAGTTTGATACGCGTAAAAAAGTATTTTTAACTATCGCAAAATTTAAGCTCGAGTTTTCTTCTCTCAAAGTACAACTAACTCTTCATTGGACTAACTGACAAACAACGCAGTTTTCAATTCTGCGAATTTGACTATAAAATTGATCAAAATTGGATTCTTGTATTCAACACAAATATAACAAAACAAAAATAACAAAAATATTGTGAGTGTTAAGAAACAGCACTAAAGTCAAATACAATGTATTTACTTAATAATAGCTGAATGACAAATTCTCAAACAGAGTTGCGGCATAAACTTGAACAATCAAACTGATTGCCAATGTTGCACGAGGGTCAAGGGTCAAAGCAAGCACAAATACTGGGTGTTGATTTCATTTGCGGTTTGTTGCACATTCAAACGATAACGGGACCAGCTCTTGATTTGCGCCATTTGGCGAGGGCTGGACAATGGGCGGTGGGCGGTGGGCGGTGGGAGGTGGGAGGTGGCTAGGCAATGTGTGGATTTTGGGCATATTAAATTGTTGCGCAATGCACCGGCTATTAAATGCGGCAATGGAGAATTTTAGTATATGGCTATTCAGCAGTTCGTGTAATTGCATACCAAGACGCAAGCGGTAATTACTTTTGAACATTAAAACACCGCGCGGGTAACTCATTAATCCACGAGCACGACTAGTGTGTGAAACTCTAGTCGCTCAAGTGTGTGTGTGTGACGGTGTGTGAGTGTGTGTGTTGTTTTCACTCCTTGGCCGGAGCTAACGATTATACATATATAGCATTTTAATAACAGCGACCACCTTGAACTTTCAACCAGCCTATGCGCAATCTGATATGGCTTTGAGACAAACACAAATGGAGGGTAATTATACCCTATCATGAACTTTAAAAAGAGTATATTAGTCTTGTGCAATGTCCATTTGCGTGTCCGCCCGTTCGCTTGTGAATTAACTTCGCAGCTTATAGTCCGATCTTTATGACATTTGAAGCTCATTTCCGAAACAAAATAGACTATAAGTATCTAAGAAGTATCTTAGAAGTGATCATTTCGGAGTCTGTGTATACTCCAAGTTATTCTACATACCAAATTCTGCTGCCTTCAACTCGTATAAGCTCAGAGATAGGAGAGGAGTCAATATCGATTCTTATCGTTTTTCTGGAAACTCGTTGATTCGTACGATCTATATTTCAAGTACTTAAGGACTAAGGGAAATAAAGACAGCCGGACATGGTTCGAATCATTCATCTACATACATAATGGGTTCAGAGAAGCCTCCTGCATGTGGCATGAATTTGCAGGATACCTTTCAACCCTTTTTATCGATTGTCAACAGGTTCAGGTTAGAGAAAAGGTACTCAATTGTACTCAATTGTACTCAAAAGTACTCAATTGTCACGTTGAGTGTTACGAAATTTAAGGCTACACTCACAGGGGGCATGGCAAATAGCATTAATCTGTATCTAACACAATTTTATATCTTATAGGCAGAATCGTTATCTCTTTATTCATTTGGCAGGACTCTGATCGAGTATTAAGCAGTCGGTTGCACCCAACGGCCACGTTCTTAGCAATTTTTAGCTAATTACGCATACGCCGCATTGTGCAAGCCCCCGCAAATGCGGCGCATATTTTCACTGCAAGACAACATGCATGCATGTTTAAGTGTGTGTGTGTGTGTAAAACACTTGTCCGCATAGCAGCATAGCATGCTGTCGCGTGTCCTGTCAGTTTTTGGGTGCTGGCTGCATCTGAGCTGCCTGTCCGGGGGCGCTCAGGTGGCAAAAGGCCAAACGTGGCCCGTTGCGAACGGTCTCGCCGGCAAATTGTAAAACATGTTTGGCCGCGGTGTGTTTAGGTGCTGGGCGTATCTTCTCGCCGCACTCTTTGTTTGTCTGCTGCAGTTTTATAAGCCCAGTTTTTTTTTTTTTTTTTGTGTTGCTCGCCGGATGTCGTCGAGCCAAAGTTTTCGGGGTTGCCGCAAGCCGTAACAATTTTGGGCACTTTGCGCGGCGGCGGCGACCGCAACTTGAAAATCTCAGCAACTTGGGTTTATTTCTATTTGTTTACGGGCCCGGCGCTGGCGGGCGGCTAGAATTTAGATTTTAATCAACGCATGCATGAAATTTGCATTTGTACGGGCGGCCAGCCAAAAAAAAAAAAAACCCAAAAATAAATATATATATATACAAAGCCGCAGCCAGTAAATTGTGGTGTGTGTGTGTGTGTCGTGGGAATTGTACACAATTGAAATTGAAATTAAGGGCCGCGTAATGGTCTTTTTTGTAAAGGGTTGCAGCCAGAGTTATAATTTTAGCTCAGCTTTCATGGTAAATTCATGCAAATACTCTAAGCGCTTTATTTTGGGGCCAAATACTTTGCGGCAACGACTCACAAAGAGTTGAGTGTGGAAAATTATTATAGGTCAAGACCCGAGTTACGTTAAGCATTGTCTGTGGCCTGAGGACCGCTGCAATCTGAAATCTGCAGCGTAAATTAGCACAACACAATGTCCCATTCGGGTTGAATGTTTATATTTTGGCAGCATTCAAAGAATTGACGCTCCGATGTTTATCAGCAAATTCTGTCAGCTCCGTAAATAAAGTGCAAATATAGACATTTACAAGCAACGCACTCGAGCTATCAACTCAATTGCCGAACCACAGCAAAACTCAATGAATTCGTGCAAATATTTAACAAGCAAACAAAGCACAAGCACAGCTCTTCACATAATGCCAAATAAACGTTTTCAATTTAATGCTGAAGTTCAAATAGTTCCTATAAATTAGATGTCCTTTTGTTGCTGAGCTGAGTTCAGCCCTAAGCACAGTCGGAATCTTTAGAATTCTTTTGAACGTCTCGCGGAACAATGGCGAATTAGTTTCATAATTTATAGAAAGATGTTGCTAACTTTTCAAAGAAGCTTTTGGGAGTTAGATGTGAATGTCATCTTTTACATTGTATCGAGGGGAATATTAAACAGGTTTTCCAGATAAACACAAAAGAATCGCATATATTAGACGGGTTTAGAGTGAGATAAGTAAACTAGATAAAAACAATGTCAGTGCAAAGGTTATAACAGCTTATTTACAACTCGTTAATGCATTTGTCATATATAAACTTGATAGCGACAATTAGCTGAGCCCGTCGCTTGGAGGAGGTGCTGGGCTCTAGGCTCAGGCTAAGGATGGATTTGACAAACAGAAGTTAGATTGAATTTTTAAAATATATACCTTGAATATTCAAATAATAATAATAGTTATACAAATAATAAGAAAAGTGTATTATTTGAAAAACAGCAGAAGCTAGATTGAAACTTTTTAAATTTATAATTTTTATAATATAAACTTTTAATATTAAAATCATATAAATAATAAAATAACAACAACAAAGTTTAAAATCGCATAGGTACATTAAATTAAAAATTTCAAATTTAAAAAGGCTTTGAAAACAGTTATTGGTAATTTAGAAAATCAAAACATTGATTTAGATCATTGACACTAACATTGATTTAACTGAATATATCGAAAATTAATCATAGTCAGGCCCAATTATTATCGCTTAACTAAACTCAATATTGAATCGCAAGAATTCAGGATTTTTCTTTTGATAATAAATAATATGTTAATCATCAATCAAACTAAATAACTGTTGTATAATAAAAGTTTGCATACTTATCGTGCTGAAAAAACGATTGTTATCGATAAATTTATCGTAGCTTGCAACCCTAATATGCTGTTTAAAGGCCAAAGGCAATATTAACAAAACAATATTTGTATATTCCAATCAGATAATAAGGTAGTTTTGCTTATCTATTAATGAAACTCTGATCAAGTAATTAATTATTTTCTATAGAAAACGCAATTGTTTTGTTATGATTACCGTGCATAAACTATCTCTCGTGTGAGTCATTCAATTAATATCTATTCGGGCTTAAGTTTTACGTAAAAGTGGATTAATTGAATGCATATAGATTTACTAGTCACAGTCACTAATGATATATATGAATACTTAATTAAGTCGTAGGCATAAAAACAGCCATTCGGCGGATGGAAATTGCCCAGAAACGCCCACAAGTCGCTGCTTAAAGTCGAACAGGTAAAGGCAAAGCGCAAAATGAGCTCTTGAATGATGCGATTGCTCACAACTATATGTAGATATATTATTTCTTAATCGGCCTAAAGCCTCTTACGTGCAAATTGTACTTTAAGTGGGGCGGGCGCTGTATGCGGCTTGGAGGGGCGGGAGGTAGTTTTCGCATTAAGCTGCATTTATCGGGCGCTTAAAGCGACTTACGACTGCAAACCAAACCGCTAAGCGGCTGTGTGTGTGTGAGGGTGAGGGTGTGTGTGTGAGTGTGCTTTTGTGGGTAAGGGTGTGTGGGTGGGAGTGGGCGCATTTGCATCTCATTACGAGCAGCTGCAACAGCAGCATCCGCGGCTTCTGTCAAGATGTCGCACAATGTTAAATTCCGACGTGTATTCTGCCCGTGTGTGTGTGCGTGCGTGTGTTTGTGTGTAACTTATAATGCAATTTTCACATTTTTCAACTTAATAAGCGCAACTCATGCTCTTAATTATGACAATATTATAATTTAGTTAGCTACCGTCTGTCGCTGTTGCCGCCGAGCAGGAAGCCGAATTCAAACTTTAATTAGAAGTTAATTAAGTTGTGAGACTCAAAAAAAAAACAAAACATAAATGGTTAGCAAAAACACATCAGCAGAGCGCCAGTGCGTGCGAGCTAGATGGAGAGAGCAGAGTGCGAATGAGATTGAAAATATGGTAAAGTGGCAACAACTCACCTGTCACCTGTCATCTGTCACCTGCCAGCCGTTCACAATTCGACACCGTAAATGACCAATTGATAGTGCAACACGGGCACCGTTCTGTGCCGCTGGAAACGCACCGTGGCAAACTGTTGGCCCACACCGCCGTCCAGCAGCTGCGCCCGCCCGCCATCGCCGTCGGGCGGCGTCATATCGTAGGCGTGCACCGCCGTAATCGTATAGGCATCGACAGCTTTGGAGTTCTGTGTGTGAACAAGTCCATGTTGTATAACATACTTATTTCGATGTTGTGTGGACACATGTTTATAACGCCTACCTGTGTGCCATATACAACATCCGTGACATTCACATTCGCATCCGCGAGGTAAACATCTTGTGCATGCAGCGTGCTGGCGTATTTGTTCACCTGCCCCCAGGTGACCGTGGCGCCATCGCAGCGCAATGCCGCCAACAGCAGCAGCAGCAGCAGCGGCAGCAACTGGCTGCTGCGCTTGATAAGCAGCGTTGTGTGTGTCAACATGACGACAGGTGGCACACACAAGCACACACAAATACGCACAGAGACTCTGTTGCCTCCGCTTGACAGATTCGTGCAACGCGCTAGGTGTGAAACTCAAATGATTCGCCTCCAGGTGATCAAGTTAAATATTGTTGCTTTGTCTACCTTCAAATTGCTTATCAGTTGCACGTTATTTTTTGTTCGCTTTTGTTTTTTATTGTTTTACCGCTCTCTTGGCTGGCAGCAGTCGTGCCTCATTTATTGAACATTGTTTTCTTTTTACGCGCTCCGCTCCGTCTGTCAACGCTGATAATATCGTTTGCTGAGGCTGTTTTGTTTGCTTTGAGTCTTGTGCAGCCGGGGTTCTCCACAATGCGGTCTGCATTCATAACCATGATATGCTATACTGGCACATTAAAAACTCGCTCACACTCGAGTTGCGACTGACGCTTATCAGCTTATCATTTGCTTTGATATAGATTTGTGTGTCGGCTGCGCTCCCATTTACGTACATAAATGTTAAATGTTTAAGCTGATCAAATATGAAACAATAACAGCAAACTGTGCAAATATTTATAATTTATTTTAAAACATGTAATGTGTACGTTTACAAAGGGAAAAGCCCACACACAGATACACACATATGTATGTGATTGGGCAATCGGAATTTTGGGGCTACGCTGCAGAGAGTATATGACGAAATGTATAGACAAGTAGATAAGATGAGGAACAGATATTGGGGCATATAATATTGACACTTTATTTGTGTAAAAACCCAATCAATGTCATTATTTCGAGGAAAATATAAGGTTGCATAGGAAAATGGCCCTAGCTATAAGACATTTTAAATCTAAGCTCATTTAAGAAGCTCTCGATTTGTTATACATAATAATATATTAGTATATTCTGATAACTTGACATAAGGCAATGTTTTTTTTTTTGTCATGGAGGAAGATATTTCCGATCCCACAATGTGCGTATATTCGCCATGAACCTTTGCATAGGTGAGAGTACACAGAGCAGACTGGCCAGAACTCTTTTTGTACCTCGTCCCGTCCTCGGCTGAAAAGACGTCAACATCTTACCCAGCTGCAGAATTAAAAATAAATTAGACTAAAGACCAATGGCAAACGCTTGGCAAAATATTATCATTTTGCTTTGTTCTTTTTTATTTGCAACCTTCCTAAAATGATAAAAAGAAGTTTAAACATTCTAAAAAAGTAGCACAAACAATTAATGAAAGGTTTCAAACAAACTCAGAGACCTTCTATTACTTACTCTCGTTATATAAACAACTGATAAAATTGATTTATGTTTTTGGAAAACTAAACCTCAGTTGAACAAAACTTACTATTAAAAGACTTTAAACTACCATTCAAATCGTATAAATCATATTTGAGGAACAGAAGTTCCGCTCTAATTGAAATTTATGATTTAAGAGGCAGCTCTTATTGATATTTTGCTCCGTATATGGTAAATGCCGTAAACGCAGGTGTTCAATCGAATTTCGTTCGTATTTCGGTCTTTTTTTAAGAAAGTTACCAAACCTAATTTAAATTGATTGAAGCTTTTTGGCAACTAGATCTGTGGGGCAGGTAGCCCAGGATTATTATGTGTGTAAACTTGTTGCCCACCTGAACCTTTTGCAGTAATATCTGCAGGTGTTCAGTCAAAGTTTTCGGGCACGCAAACTTTTACTATTTGTGAAAAATGGCGCCAGCATCTTGTGCACAAAGTTTCGGCGTGCCTAAACAATGAGCGCAACTTTCAATAGCATTAAGTATACGCCATGTATAACTAACTTTGGCCAACTCACTGCACCATACTCAGCTCATCTCTCTAATCTGTATCGTATCTCCTGTTCACAGCTGATTACACTACGCGACGGCAAGGTGGGCGTTAATTTCGCCGGCTACCATGCGGATGCCGGACTCGGCGGTCTGCTGACGGGCAACGCAGCCCACGGCGGACTCAGCGCCTCGGCGGGCACACCCTGGGGATCGCGTGCCGCAGCTGGTATTGGTGGCGGTCTTAACGGTAATACAACGCACTTATTAATTTGATTTTGATTCACACTTTAATCCAACACATTCGTAGGACGCACGGCTGGCGGTGCATATGCAGCGGCTCAGGCCAACGATGATATTGGCGCCAGCGCCCTGCTCGGCGGCAGCGTGGGCGAGCGTGGCTATATCGGCTCCGAGGCGCACGTTCCCGGCAAGGTGTCCGTCCATTCCGCACAAGTCGGCCAACAACATGTGACCTCTGGTCCGCCAGCTGTTGAAGATTTGCCTCCAGTGCTGCCAACGGCGCCCAGCCATATCCAGAAGGTCAAGCCGCCCAAAAAGTATTCGCTGATTGCACAACATGTAAGTAATTGCTAAAGATTTTGAATAGAAGCCCATTAATGTCGCAGCAATAGCATCTACATCGTCTGGATATTGGTTAGACGATACTCTAGAATTAGATTTCGAATATAGTTGAATAATATGCAATGTCATCATTCATTTGTATTTCCAAAAATTTAAAAAAAATTGCAAGAGATCAATTCAAAGTGTTAAAACGCTTAAGATGTCTGTTTTTTTTTATTTTATCGTCAGTTTTTCATTGAGAAAAATAATACATAAGCTTAGTGATGTGCTCAGCGATTAGCATACAAAATATCTCATATATATAATAATTGCAGGGTTTATAGGAGTCTGATTTCAAAGCTCTAAGCTTGCCAGATTCTAGTCGTCATTTGTCAAATTTGCTATAGATAGACGCATATTTATGTTTATTTTAGAGAACAAACCAACTAGCTTGATTTGCTTGAGATATTTCAAAAAAAAATATCCAAGAGTATATACATCTTTTTTGCATATAGAAATTACTAAAAATTAGCGTTATGCTAATTAACAAATGCTGTCAGATAGCTTTGACGGCCTAAACTATATTCGCGCAGCTGTCAAGTTTGATTTTTTTAATGGAATATAATTCACTTATTAAATATAGCTTAAAGGCGTATTTTAGCCAAAAAGCCAATGCTCAGCGTGGAAATACTGTGTGCGTGTGTTATATTTAATTTAAGCTCGTGTTGAATGCCAACAGCACACAAATCGATGTGTGTGTGTGTGTGTGTCTGTCTGGTTGTGTGTTGAACCCTCCCTAATCTATCCATGTTCAGTCAGACCACAGTACGACCACTCAAATCAATGAAAATCATGTTCAGACCGCTGCAGCTCTGCCAGCCGCAGAGGCCGGCCTGAGTAGACAGGAGCCGACGCCTCTAATAATTGTGAAGCGACCACGCCTACGTGTGAAACGCCCACGTCAAAGGCAGCGCACCGTTTACATAACGCGTAAGGTGGGCGTCGAAGAGGATCTGGAGCAGCTGCAGCCACAAGAGGAGCTCCAAAAGTCACACTCTGACGAGTCGGCGAAGGTAACACACTGTCAAAATAGCCACGAGAGCAGCACAAACAAGCGCAGACACAGGCGATGGGCGGCAGAGAAAGCCAACAAACAGAACATATGCACACAAATACACAAAAATACACAGACATACACACACCCACACAGCCACACACACACACACAACACCCACTGTCCAGCAAACAGCAGACAGCATTTAGATATGGAATATGGCCAGCAGCAACAGCTTTTGGCTTTTGGTTGCAACTTTCGCTTTTGGGTCAAAATATTTGACCACTTTATGCTGTAAATTTATTTAAAACGTTTGTGGGCGGTTTTTTTTTTTGTATCCTTTTGGCGCGCCAGCAGCTGCTGCTCCAACTTGTTGAAATATTTTCAATAATTTTTGCATGTGTTTTCATTCTGATTATTATGCTCGTTCACGGAGTGTATATAGAGTATATTGGATTTCTGCAATGCCCGCTCGTCTGTCCGTATTGAACTCTAGTTAGGGTCTTGCAATAGACAAAAGGAAAAGATGGATAAATAATTTCGTAACATTTTTGGGCTCTCCTGAATCTGTTGTGCTTCAGTTAAATACTCAATTTATCAACTTTTTCTTTAATATATATCGGCTCCTCTGGAGTACATGTTGGGCTTGCCCAAAGATACTGCCGAAAATACCCATCCATAAATTTATATAATAATTTGGTATATTTTCAGAATTTAATCAAACCGTGAACGAGTATTACGCAGTCGGTTGCAACCGACTTGTTTGTGTTTTGTTCGTTTACGTTTTGGTGGCAGCAAAATATATAATTTCTGGCATTTATTTAGCTTTCGGTTTTATTAGCCATGTTTTTTGCCTGCCATTTATTTTCATAGCCAGCATGAATTGGCAATTTTTTTCGTTGTTGCTCAATATACATTTATTTTGGTTTTTGCACTCACAGGCGACGCCCAAGAGTGAAGCCAAGGTGGTGCAGACGCGCAAGTACGCAAAGGTCGCCAGCCAGAGGCCGCAGGGCGTCAGCAGCCACGTCATTGCGCCGCAGGCCCAAGGAGTTGTGGGCAACGCACTTGAGGTGAGTAACTCGAACTGCCGTCGTCGTTTGTGTAAATGTCCATTTAATTGTTTGTCCATATTCACACTTTCCGTAGATACCCATTGGCATTTTGCGCTCCCTGCAGGAGAGCCTGGGCGCTTTGACGGGTGGACAGCCTTTGCCGCAACCGGCAGCTCAGCCTTTCCAGGGTTAAGTGCACATATATAGCGCATAAGTTTATACTCAATGTCATATAATCAATAAAGCCAATTAAGTGGTAAAAACAATAGCGAACTAAGCCCCTCCTCACAAGCGGAACAATATCAAAACTTGAATTTAACTTGTAAATGTGCCATAATCCATCATCTGTCCAATTCTAGTACTTGCTTGCCTTGAAGTAGGACTGTGTCGAGGGTGCTCAAGGCAAACAAGGTGTATTTAATAGGATTACAGCAGGGATTAATCACGTACATAAAATACCTGAATGTAAATATTAAAACTTTAATTTCGCATAAGAAGGACAATGACAACAAGCTTAGTTCAGTTGACTTTTGCAAAAGCAACAGTTTTGGTAAATAAATCCGCCTGCTCTTCAAAAAAGTTGAAACTTTTTTATAACAAACACGGGTAAGTTTACTTTCCTTTTTGTATGTATGTATGTATTTATAGTATGTGTGTAGTGTATATGTATGTAGGTATGTATGTAATCCCAATGCAAAGTTCACTTCAGATTTTCACTAATTAACCCCGCTACGCTTCAAATGAATAAAATAAAACTCGCCCCTCTATGCAATTCTCATGAATTTAAGTAAGACTGTAGTTTAAATGTTTTATTGAAAAGTATTGTTATTCTAATTAGCTTTGCTCTTGTATGTGGTTGTGTTTATGCGAGTGTCTACTTATATGTATGTACTTATTTTACTTATTATACATATTTATGTATATACCTATGTAGATATGTTCCCTTGTAGCAACTGCATAGCAAATTGACTTCC